TCCGCCCCAGGCTACAATGAATGCTTTGAATACTTCAGAGGATTAGGTTGTTTGGGTCTATGAACATTCATCAGCTGTGTGTCATGTTTACCTCAGCAACCAACCGTACAGAGTCCCACTTTCACTGTGTACTGCCAGTACACATCATTATTCATATTATGGACAGGTATATTAAAGGTCTAGTGTGTAACATTCAGGAGGATCTACTGGAAAAAGTTAATATAATATTAATAGGTATGTTTTCATTGGAGTATAATCACCTGAATATAGGAAAATAGAATGAGTCGTTTTAAAATGAGATGCTGCAGGTCCACCATGTTGAACCACAATGTTTCTACAGTAGCCCATAATGAACAAACCAGACACTGGCTTTAGATAGGGTCGTTTGTGTTTTTGTGGCCACCGTAGTTTCTCCTTCACACCTCACAGCCCATTCTCATTCCTAGGTCATCAAATACAGACAGCAACGGTGTTCAGTTAATTGCAATTTGAAACCTCATCGCTAGATGCTGCGAGATCCTACACAATGGTCCTTTAAATCTAAATTAAACACTGCCTGATTATTGCATTAAAAATTCATTTTGAATGTGAAGTGTCTACTGGTACTTTCAATGGATACTATGAGAGAAATACAATTTGCTTTTATCTTGTTCTGTCTTTATTTTTGTTCTCCAGAATAAAAACAAGAAATACAAAGTCATACAAATATAAAGAGGAAAGAAAAAATAAAAGCAGCAGCAGCACAGTGGTTGAATGTTTCTCTGTTCTCATCACATTTTTAATCCAGATCAATATAGTCATAGACCAACATTGTATTTGTTTGTTAATTATCTGAAATTAAACTTGGACCTCAATCTTACCTTAGATTTATCCGGCACTTTTTTATCCTCTTAGGGAAGTGTTAGACTGCCCTCTGTTTACTTTTACAGGTTTTTAAAGTGCTCATACTGTGCCACAGAACTCATAGTGTTTGCAACTATCCCTCCTCAGCAGACAGAAGGCAGCAAGCTGTTTCTATTGTGCTGTAGGGTTACAGGGAAACTCTTAAAATGCCTACATCTGCATAGTACAAGTTCTGAGGACAAGGCGATTCATCGGCTTTGGCATTCCACATCCATTCATTTGTGACCTACAAGTGGGAACAGGAGTGGGGTGCAGGAAATTCTGACTGCTTGCAAGTCTTTGATGGATGCTGGAGTACCAAAGCACTGAGGACGAGTGTGAGAAGAGCATTTGAAGGCAGAGTAAGGCTTGAAGAACAGAAAAGCACTTAGCAGACACCCTTTGCTAATCTAAATTGGCTCATCCCTCCTGTCTGTGGTTTAGAAGCTACAGAGGCAGATTGACAGTTATACTCCTGTAGGCACCGACCACAGTGATGTTCACAGTCATGTTTCAAGTAAAACTGGAGTTAAAGGTGCAGTGTGTAAGATTATACTGGCAGAAATTGAATATAATATTCATAGATATGTTTTTATTAGAGTATAATCATCTGAAAATAAGAATCACTGCGTTTTTTTTTTTACCTTGGAATGAGATGTTTATATCTACAGAGTGAGTGGGTCCTCTGGCGGAGTCCACCATGTTTCTACTGTAGCCCAGAACGGACAAACCAAACACTGGCTCTAGATAGGGCCTCTCGCATTTTCAAGTTGAAATCTGCAACTTCACCGCAGGAAGCCACTGAATCACACACAGTTCATCCAGGATAATGGATTTCAAGATTGGATTTTACAAACGTCTAGACCAAAATGTGAAATGTATACTTGGGGCAATGTTCAGTCTAGAAAGCACAGACAAAAGGATACAAATAAATCACACTGTTAATGGCTGTGGGCATCTACGTCCTTCCTCCTGTTCTCACATACTCATCTTTACACATCTAATGCAGCGGCCACTCTGGTGCTGTTTAGCCGTGGTAGTGTTACACCTGCCAATTTCAAATAAAATAAAAAGACAAACAGTGATGGACAGATAGGTAAAGGACACAGTTATTCCAGAAGCCAGTCTAAGTACACAGCTGACGGCTGTTTGGCAGAGGTCCAGTGTTGTGTTCAGGTTGATGTCATCGAGTTAATGTTTTAGTGCAGCGTGTTGTTTTTGGCACTACTTACAGAAAGAGGGCATTCTCTAGTACACGCCCATTGTTTGAACATTGTTTTTCTGTGGTGCAGATTTTGACACCAGTTACATTTTAAAGACTTAATGAGACTTACAGTGTAAACGTGCAATTGTTCAGGGTAAACTGTTCATACTCCAGTGCATTTGATTGATTTATTTTTTGTACGTTGTGCAGGGTGTGTCTTGTCTTTCATCCTCCCTGCACACTAAAGTAACTCCACTGGCAATTGTATTTATAACTAATCACGCAGAGTTCCAGGTTATTATAGTTAACTAAAACTTGTTTGTATTGTAATATATAATCTAAACTTCTTAAATCTTGCCCTTGACCAAAAAAACACAAAAACTCACTATCTTGTAATAACTGAAACTAAACTAAATTGAAGACAAAAATTAAGAATAAAATAAAAATAAAAACTAATGAAAAATACAAAACTATATTAACTCTGGTTCAAATGATTACAAAGTTCACTCGTGAGGCGGGTCAAGACTATTAGCCTCTAGTAATTTTGTTTATTAAATTAGTCAAATCCATAGAGGAGTTAAAGAAATAACAAGAATTAAGCTCAGACAACAATATCAGAAACACTATATTAAGATGTCTGTAATATTTGATGCTGTGAATGCTTTTTCCTACTTATTTCAATCAGATTCACTGTAGACAGCAGTGCCTGTCATCTTTTTTACACACTGAGGCTGTGAAATTAAGGAATTTTCATCTTCTCATCTTCCTCATAGCTGCGTTAAATATTCTGACCACTGGAGGGCAGTGCAACAAGCTGTCGAAAAATATTGGTATAATCAGCTTGTAAAGCTGTTATGGCTAAAATGTTAGTAAACAATTAGCCGTTTACACGTTCAGACACATTCGCATAAATCTGGAGTCCTTCTGGCTATCTGATGAATGGAAGTCCAATATTATGTTTCTCTTTTAGTTCTGATTAAAGTTGGTATCTAGACCCATTTATAAAAATAAAATAAAATAAAATAAATAATACAGAACTGATGAGACAAAACATAGACCAAAACTAAACACAACAGAACACAACAGAACACA